TTAGAAGCCTGGCAGGCCATGTTTTGGTCTTTTTTAATTTGGTTTGCAGGAGGTCTAGTCGCGAAAAGATGTGCCGAAAAGATGTGCGAATCTCGTTTTGAACTATTTTATGGAAACTCCAAATGGGGCTTTTCAGTTTTCTTTTATTTTTTTATTTTTTCAACTCGTCTTCATGTGGAAAGACACAACTTAACCAAATGGTCTTTAGGCTGTCAAGATCTTGATGCAAAAGCTCACTATGTCTTTTAAATGTCAGAGCTTTTAGAAGTTCTTTCAAAAAAGACTCGGTTTAAGGCTGAAGATCGTTTAGTTAAGGCTTGTCTTTCTGCTCGAAGATGAGTTGAAAAATCCTCAAAAATCGCCCAAAATAGGCTTTACACATTTTTTCGATGCAACGTGTATTGACGATTGGATATTTTCCGAGAAAAAAAATCCGACAACCCACACAAAAGGACACATCAAACGGGGCCTTGACTTCTCTTGGGGCTACTTCAATTTTTTCCCCTTGCCCGTCGTGTTCATTAAATTTTTGCTGATATGTGCATTTATGACATGGATGCAATGTCGTTCAAGTAATGCCCATACAAATATGCAAGTGTATGATACTATGATGGTAAAACAGCCATTATTTTAACATGCAAAAACAAATAAAAATAGAGATTAAATTAGTATTTAAAACATTTTGAGTAGTTGTTCCAAATTTTCTTGAAGAGCTTTGGCCACAGTGGTGTGGTCCAATCTGAACTATTTTGTGCTATTTTATTTTATTTTTCTGGGTGCACCTAACGCTCTATGCTACCAATTTGCACTCAACCCTGTTTTCAAAATTCATATTTCTTTATCATCTTATTGTCAAATTGTATCCAAACACATTCACTATTTGATGCTTTTGGATTGCAGCGGATTTGCAGATGATAAAATAAAGGGATAAGTAGACTGCACTTCAACTCAGAAATTTGAACTTACAGCCACATTCTGCCCATGGATTAGGCATCAATTCACAGTCAGGATTCATCCCACCTGTACAGTAAAGCTAAGATTTCTGAGGTGGACTGAACAATAAATTCCCTAAAATTAAATATACTAAGTACTTTAATCTTGATATGGACGAAATAATTGAGTGGTCTGAGGCAAGGTTTTAAAACCGTCGTTGACATTTCTGCTTCTTATCAAAAAATAAAAAAAATAAAATTGTCGTTGACCTGAACCCAAAGAGTCAGACTGTTCGGCTGGAGAAACTGGTCAGGGTACGGGTTCTGTTTTAGGCTTTTAGCCCTGAATCATTATTTTTTTTCTAAAAAACCGTTGAATTAGTCAACGGATTGTTGACTTAGTCTGTCGAACCATTGACCTGTTTGACCTATATAACAATTTTAAGGTTATTTTTTGTTATTTTTATTTTTTAAATTTTAAAGTGTTATGAACTAATCCATTTGGACCAGAAGTCAAACCACAGACCCAGACCCAGAAACTAGTGGTCAAAACAGTTCTGGTTTTTTATCGGTTTTTAAAAACGTTGGTTTGGGGTACCATAACTTAGATGATCAAAGTCCACCATTAAATGGGTCCCCCATCAAAGAGATTAATCTGTCAAAAATACCATGGAGAATGATACCATTTGTTTGTACGGTTTATCATGATAGAGCATAGTTATTAATGGTTTTCAAAACCGGACCAGATCGGATAGTCGGATCAAAAAAATCGGGAATTGGTCAGGTGATCGGTTCCATTTTTCCCCCAAACCGGATTTTCTTCAAAAAACCGTTGATTTTGGTCAGCAAACCACTGACCCGAGTGGTTAATCGTTTGAACGGTTTTTACCATTTTTTATTTTTTTATTTTTTTATTAGAACGGGTTGACTATTTGACCCGGTAACCGGACTCCTGACCGGTTCAGTCTCCGGGTTGGTTTTAAAAAGGGGTAAATGAATTTTAACTCGGATCAAAAGGTTATTTCATATTTTTAGTAGGGAAAATTCCCGATCAGTATCCTGTACTTTGACTCGAGCGACAATTTGGTACTCGAACTTTAAAATGCGACAATCCAGTACCTACCGTTAACCAGTCCATTAATTAGACGTTAAGTGACATTTGAAAAGTCAAAAATGCCCTTCGAATGCCATCTAATTCTCTTTATCAACTATCCAAACGTTGACAAAAAACTAAACAATCCCAAATCCTAACCTCTTCTATTAAAAAAGGTTGGTGACTGTTTAGAAGAATCTAGAATTTGGGACTGTTCATTTTATTGTCAATGTTTGGATGGTTGATAAAGAGAATTAGATGACATTCTTAGGGCATTTTTGACTTTTCAAATGTCACTTAACGGATTGGTTAACGACAGGTACTGGATTGTCATATTTTGAAAGTTTGGGTACTAGACTGTCACATTTTGAATGTTCGGGTATTGGATTGTTGCATTTTAAAGTTTAAGTACCAAATTGTCACTCGAGCCAAAGTACAGGGTACTGATCGGGAATTTTCTCTTTTTAATATGATCTCGAAATTGGAGTAGTTTCCTGAATCAATATATAGCCCTCAATAGCAAGGTTTTAAAAATCGAATCAGACACAAAACCATTTTGGCCACCTGTTCCTGGGCCAAATGGCCCAACTGTCCAGTTTGAATGGACGACCTGTTTTGATTTTAAAAAATAATCAAAATAAAAAACAACCAAAGACCGTTGTCTAGGTTGACGGTTCGACCGCACAGGTCAGTGGTTTGCTAACCAAGTCAATGGTTTTTGGCTTATGAACAGTTTTAAGGTGAAATAGAACCAGTTGCCTAGATGTTTTCTGGGTCAATTGGTCTTATTGTCTGGTTTGGGCCGGTTTTCAAAACCATGCTTAAGAGGCTTCAATGCACATAATAAATAAATAAATAAATAAAATATGATAAAATGGATCTCTTAATACAATGTGTAATGCATGTGCCTTCCTGCTAGGGGTGGATTCGAGCCGAACCAGATATCTGGCTATTCGAGCTCAACTTGCTAATAAACTATTAGGCTCGAGCTCGAGTTCGATTTGAGATAGAAACTTGAGCTCAAACGGTTTGAGTCAAAAGATTAAAAATTCGAGCTCGGCTCGGCTCGAGCTCGATTGTGAATTAAACAATGTATAAAATAAAAATATACATATAAAAATTATTTTTTATTTGACATATAAAAAATTAAGAATTCCAAAAAATTAATTATTATTATATATAAAAATTAAAATTTGATATGCATATATATGTATCGATGTATGTATGTATGTATGTATGTATGTATATATGTATATAATATATACATATATACATATATATGTAAAAGCTTGATTAGGCTCGTAAGCCTCACGAGTCGAGCTTTATTAGGCTCAAACTTTGCTCGATTAGAAAATGAGCCTATATACAAGGCTCAAGTTTGGCTCGAAGCTCGAACAGCTCGTAAAAAGTTCGGCTCGTAGCTATCCCTACTTTCTATTGGAAATAAATAGAGCTATCAATGGATTCGAAAAAGTCTGAAACTTGATCTGACACACGATTCAATTATTTCATATTTGGATATTAGAACTTGCATTTGATAGATATCAAATAATATAATTATATATAGATATTATATACAATTAATAGATTAATAAATTGTAATATTTTATATTTATATAAATATTATACACGTATAAGTTAAAAAATAATCATTTTTTATTTTTAATTTTTTTTCAAATTTAGCACAATAAGACAAATTCCGATCTAAAGTTTTGATAATTTGATGAGATTAGGTTGTGGCTGGACCCTATCCTAATCCAACCCAATTTTATACATTGATAATTATGGTAGGAAGAGTAAGATAAGAGAAGTTTGAAAAAATAGGAACATAAATTAAAAATATCTGAAAACATTAAAGTGTAGATGGAAAAATTAAAAAAAAAATTCTAAAAGCTTTGAGTAGGCATAATTTAGAGGGAGAAACTTTTGGTTTTAAAGATGCCAAAAAAAACCCTCATACCAAAGACTGGGATTGTCATTATTGATGACTTGATATTTATCAAATTCCCTCATTTTCTTTTTCTTTTTTCTTTTGACAAAACTTTTCTTTACAACTAATAAAAGTTATTGTAATTTTTTTTGTTTTAATTTCTAAAAATGAAAAGGGTCTTATTTCTACCACATAATTAGTGATTTAGTTCATTTATTAATTTTTCATACAATATATGTTCAAATGCCCAATAGTCAAGTATGCTTTGTGTTGTTAGATGGAGTTGTGTTAATTATTGGGCCCTGCCCTTCTAGGTCTTTTTCACCCACTGATTCAACTTTGTGGAAAACAACCAAATTTGCCACGTGGCTCTCATCCATAGGTTTAACGTTCCTGAAGACGACCAGTCCAAAAGATTAACCCAACATAATCTCTCTCTCTCTCTCACTCAGGCTTTAAAAGCATTAACTACATTTTCATCATCACATAAAGTGATATTGGATGATTTTTATAGTATTGTAATCTGCATGATTGATGGTGTACAGTGTACATAGGTTGGATTGGGACCCATCTAAGAAATCTCTTTGATCTAACTTCAGCATGATCAAGATTTATATATGAGAAAAAAGATTTGATCACTGAGCTGAGAGGTCATCATGTACCCTTCTTTCCATGTATGTGGTGCACCCACTCAAGGTCCACATCCATCCAGACTGTCTAATAGATGACCATTAGTTACTTGTTTAGCAAGTGGCCTCAAAATTATTGCAGTGATGGGACAATCTTAGCCATCAAACTGTTGAACCTTTTAAATGATTGTACTCCATGGCCCCATTGGATCAATGGCCAGGTACGCCCCACCAAAATATCAATACTGAAGCATAGACTTGTGGTTGTGGACTGCTGAGATGCTGGGGACTGGCCCTAAGAGATGGTCCTAACATGAACACATTCTCCTTTCCTTCTCTGGAATTGGATTAATTAAAAAGCAAAATTTGCATTAATGTTGGAAATAATATCAGAATGTCTGAAAAGAAACATTCCATAAGTGGTAAGAACTAAGAATGAAACTTCATTTTGAATCCTTTTGGTCGGTTAAGGGATCAAAAACAAACTTGGAAGAATTGACTCTACATTCAGGGAAACTCTGCAGATAAATTAAACCTCTAAATAAGGCGAAATTCACACGGGCAGAATTCAATCTAATCACCATGGCAAAGCTCCAGCCTTCAAGTTCTAAGTTTCTAACAATATCTACACATAATTTGAACATTTCCAAAACAAAAATGGTAATCAAAATACCTAAAGCCTTTGATCATTAAATGTACACGAAATTCTCACTGAAATAGCAAAATCAACGAGGGAAGGAAAAGAAGAAGAAGAGAAAAAAAAAAAAACTCAGAGCTTCAGAGACAGATCGAGCTTCTGCAACTCCTCTTGATTAGTCTTCATGCCGCCACTAGCTGCCCACCAATAACCACTGATTCCTTCCTCCATAGGAGGACTAAACATCCGGCTGGTATCGAACCGAGCAGCGCCACCTCTCGACGATGATCCTGCCGACACACCCACATGATAATCGGTCATTGCCAGTCTTCCAATTGCAGGTTGTTGATTGATGGGCGACCTCGACCACTCATGGTGACCATATAAATGCCCTGATGGCTTGTGGATCATAGAGTGCACCTGAATTCCGAGAGACCGACTGAAAGAACCATGGAGTGGTAAAGAAGCCAAGCTTGAGAAGCGATGGTAGTGCGACTGAGAATGCCCAAAAGCAGCAGCAGCAGCTCCCATTCGATGCCCTCTCTTTGCTAGAGTCCTCTCTCGCTTGTGGGCGTTCTGGTGTCCCCCAAGAGCCTGTGAGCTGTAGAATTTTCTCTGACAGTAGTTGCAGGAGAAGACTCGGGGCTCAGCCTCTGTGCCTTGTGGGATCTCTGGTGAAGTTTCTGATGCACCCACGCTCAAGCAATCGATAAGATTGAGTTCTGGCTTCGACCCATGACTGGAATCCTTGTGAGAGAGGCTAAGATCTAGTAAGAGATCAGGATTAGTCTCTTCCTGCAACGTTTCTTCTCCTTCTGGCTGTTGCCTCTCCCCTTTCTGCTGCTTCTCTGAGCCATCTAGACTTGGCTGAGCCTCTGGTACTGAAATGATGCTTGAGGTCTCAGAGAGACATGGCTCTATATGCTGTGGCTCCATGGAAGGAGGAGATGATGTGAGACTCTTCTTCCCTTTGGTGGTAAAAAATTGGGTTGTTTGATAGCAAGAAGATGAATACTTATTGAGGAGGAATTTAATGACATCTGCTAGTATGGAAATGGAATGATATTCTATTGTCTACAGTTACAAAGGTCTTATAATGGTAAAACCAAGAGAGAGAGAGAGAGAGAGAGGAGGTGAAGCTTAGAATTGGGAATGCACAAAGGGACAATAAGAAGTGATTGAAGTTGAAATAGAAACATGAGATGAAGCTCTGACGTTCTTTTCATTGAAACAAGCTCTATGATCAACACCATCTATCTCTATCTAATTCTAACCCAATGTATATCTCCATCACAAAGAAAAAAAAAAGGACCAAGTCCTGAAGTCCCCCTTTTTGGTCAGTAGTATTAGACCCTCCAAAGTCTTACTTGCTCTCACAGACCCATTGAAGATTCATCTATATTTTGCCACTTTTGTACACAAGGTCTCATAGCTTTGGGATCCCCAGAATAAATGTTTTCCTTTTAGGGTGTCTGGTTTCTGCCATGGTTTTTCTTGAACAGACCAACATCAGGACGATTCTAGCTATCTCAGTTGTTTTCCCCCTTTTGGTTGTTGGAATCATTGGGGGTGCTGAATATTCTGGTCCGGAAAAGTTCTTCCTGGCCAAGCTTGAGCTTGGTTGTCTCTCTAGCCGAAGCCGAGTCTCAAATTCAGCTCTTTATTCTAACAAAACAATCAAACATGGCTGAGTTGACTCGTTCAGTGGCTCAATTGAAGATGTTCATTACCTATGCCTATACCGCATGTAATATACATACATGTAATTGTAGGGCTACCAATTCCAAAGGCCAATCAACTACTGGATTCAAGGGAGCTCAAGTTGAAGCAGACGCCATCAAAAATTCAAATTCAGAACTGAGCCTGAGCTCCATCTGAGTGATGGGCTTAAGGTGAACTGGGCAAAGCTCAAGAGGTTTCAGTTCAGCTCGGCTTGACTAGTTTCCATCCCTACTAAAACATGGTGAACTAATACCTGTTAATGGGCCATCAGCCCACTACTGTGAAGTTTCCTAGTCCTAAAGTGAACAATAATCTGATAGAGACATTTTTTACAGAAGACTCCCTTCGCATATTTCAAGGGTTTACTGTCTCAAAATATTTCCTACCAAAAACTAATAAAAATTGTTGTTTGAAGGTGTGGGATCATCTGATTGGTACCAAACGCATTTTAAAATTACATGAAATAATCTTAACAGAATTACTCTTCATTTTGTAAATCCATTCTACATACTCTGGATTGAAAATTTGCAAATCTTTTTAGGTATAGAAGCATTAAATTTCTGTGATATCTCCAAATCCACTTTGTTTTTAAAAAGCCCGGATCTGCTGCCATCAAAAAGCGTGTTATCCCATCGCATTTTTTAACCTATCCCCTTTATTTATGAGTTTATATATCTTTATAATGCTCCTAGTATTACATATAGAAATGAATTATTAATACCCAAAACTACCAAACTTAGCCATATTCTAGACACAGTGGCATCTACTTGATAATGAGATGGTTGAATTTTGAAACCAAAAATATAAAAATAATTAAATAAATAAGGTTGAATATGCTAAGATGAAAGTTAGGTGATCTCTAGCACTGAGAAGTCATGGAAAATGAACTATCTTTCTATAATTTTCTTAAAATAAAAATCAAACTCTATATTTGTGAACCACAAGTCTTCTTGAGAGATATTCATCTTATAAAATAGACTAAAATTCCTTAATATAGAAAACTCGCAAGAGATTAGATCAGATAGATGCAAATTAATACAGGTTGTTTAAGAAGGTATGCTTTTTAATAATAATAATAATAATAATCTCTTGTTCATGCAGTAGAAATTTGTGCATCAAAATATGGGTCCTACCTATAACATACCTACATTTTTTTTTTTTTTTGTATTTGGTGCTACGCATTGTTGCGGGAATTGATTCTATATCATTGCCGGAGCAAACCAGTTAACATACCAAAGAGCCACCCCTTATATTTAGAATTTTGTATAAAACTTGTTTTAAAGCATAATTAATGGACCACTTAAAAAAACGAGAGCATCAAATCTTGCTGATTGCTTATGCAAGTGATCTGTTGGATAGGTTTAATCCACTTCAGCAGTGTACAGAACATGGGGTGCTAAATATAGATTTTTCTTTTGGGTAATGACTAATGAGTTTTGCAAGCATGGGGTGCTAATTGTCAAAAAGAAAAGGAAAGCTTTCAATCCTCCTAGATTTCGCTTTTGCATTGAAGATTCACATAGAGGTTGAGGAACTAGGTTTTAATTTAAATAACTACTCAAAGTAGTACAATTGTCATTTTCATCTCATGGATGGTTCAAAAAATCTGTTGACTTATTCTGTTTTGATAGTGGTGTTAATTAAGGATGATATGATATTGAGTGAAACATATTTAAGGAGCAAATGAGTTTGAAAGAAAAGAGAGAACTGTTGGGAAGATAACCATATTCATCATACTGCAGCTATTATTAACCTAATCTACATGCTAACTCTCTTCTGCTTGATATTTTCATTATTTTGAACTTTGTTCTCTGATTCTAAAGAGAGTTGATACATAAGCAAAATTTTATTTTTATTATTGTATGGTTCTAGCATGCTTTTGAATTTGATTTCCTCTGTTACTTGCCCCTTCCTTATTTTAGTCCATTCATGAACTGAACTGAAGTTCCTAATTCTATCTTCAAATTTTAATTTCAATTAGTTATTTAGAAATCTATAAAAAAATAACAAAGTAACAATCTTCAAGAAAATATCTTGTTAGTTAGGTTCCAATGTTAGGAAAATCTTCCAAAATGAGTTAACAATTTTCTAGTACTCAAAGAAGTATATAGACCCATGTTTCTCTTTCAAAGCATGCAGGAGAACAGCACTAGACCCATTGACTAAATATTTCCACCAACATCAAAGGTTCATGGTGGGTCATTATATAGATTTCAATATAAGGTTGTGGATTTGGACACTCCCATCTATGAAAATGAAAATACAATAGTACCCCTAATTATATGGTAATAAAAATTAGCACATATAGGCACTTCTGTCTTTTAAAAATGAGTATTTTGTTTTTCAAAAAAAAAAAAAATTGAACTACCAACAACGCCATTCTAAGTAACAAATGAAAGAGAGAAAGGAGGAGGTCTCCTACATACAATGGGCAATATTTTCCCATGAAGGTATTTTTGGAGGCATAGAGGGAACCTTATTACGTGCAGCAAGTGGGTACTCTCAAGTTGGACATTCATGTAGACATTGATGCAGAAACGTGCCAAAATAGACTTCCAGCCAAGACCCAATACTGTTTGTCCACGTGTCATCAGGAGATGTATGGTGGAACGGGTGGTGGCGACGACAAATGGCCGACAGATGGATGGGGAAGCTGATGTGGAGGGACCCCAAGCTCCCTTAGTGCTGTCCTATGCTATATATATGAATTATTAGGCTCCACTCAGCCTAAGTTTCAATAAACTTTTGCAATGAGAAAATTCATCACAATCTTAGGCTCCACTCAGCCACACTCTTTTAATCCTCCATCTATTTGTAAACCCTAACCCCCACTCAAAGAAACTTGAAAAGAAGGTTTCATGTACAAAAAAGGAATAATTGGTTATGAGTGCACTTTTACTCTTTTATTCTCATTTACTTGTCCAATTACAAACATCCCATATGAACATATATCATCCATGACCCTTGTTGCTTGCTTGTCTATTCAAGTTCGACCAAATCTCTTAGAAGATCTCAATGTCTCTCTAATGAAACATGTTTGAAAAGCCAAAAGAGAAGCAACAGGCTTCCATCACTCCCACACAAATATGAAAAGGATCAACTTCCTCAAAGAGGACAACTTAGTCCCTCCACTTCTCAAGTCGCACTCATACCTATTATGTATATCTTTTACTTATCACCTACCCTACCCTACCCCACCTCTCTCTCTCTCTCTCTCTCTCTCTTCAATCAATCAAAGAAAGGTTGAAGGACCCATTTGTGTGTTTGTGCATTTGGCATCCAGCAAAGTGACACTCATATTGATCTATTCTGTTCTCTTCAACTAATGGGTCATAATAAAATATCTTAGCTAATTGCTGTAACGAACAGCTTTAGATAGGCACCAAGTAATGTCACCGTCTTTCCCATCAACTTCATTTGCCTTCCCTATGAGATTCTTCCAAAGGATCCTTCACTTTAGGTCAATGAACTGCTTAGAAATTCCTCGCCAAGAGAAGAAAAGGGCTGAAAATTATAATTTAAGCCCTATAAAAGTATAATAGGGACTTCTATCGCTTGGACTGTGGGTCGTAGAAAAGACTTCTAGGGCCCAAAAGGGCTCTGAGATTAGGATTAGATGTTAAACACTGTTCAACTTGTCCTCTTTTGTTGTTAGAATATATTCATTTGATAATATTGACGTTGTGGAGATAAGCTTTGAATTGATGAAGCTCATGCAATGCTGGGTTCCCCATTCTCTAAATATAGGACTTGTGTGATGGTGAGTTATGGAGGCCCAGGCTCATCAATAGGCCCTGTAACTCTCATCTTGTTCTTGGTTTTTGGCAAGGAAAAACTGATAAGCCACAATTTATCATCATTGGCCATTGCCATTTGAAGTAACATACAACCATACAAACCGTTGGGCAAATGAAGAAGACTCAAATTCGAAAAAACCTTGATATCTATTTGGAGTTGGTTACATAAATAAAATCACCAATTGCCTAGTACTTAAAGATGGTTACTCGGTATCCCTTAAAAAAATGGAAGCATAAGATCAAACCAGCAGAATTACAGACTCATTGTGAATAGATCTGTTCATGGGCTGGTTAACCCGATGACCCGGCCCGTTATAAATCGGGCTTGGTCATAATTTTAGGCCTGCGGGCTCGGGTTTGGGCCTAGAGCACCGAGCCCGATTTTTTTTAAGGCCAGGCTCGGGTTTTCTCAAAAAAGCCTGGCCTGAGCCCAAGCTCGAGCCTGGCATGATACTATATATTAAATAATAAAAAATATATATACAATATTTTTTCTTCGTTCTTTTTTTTTTCAAGTAATAGTGAGATGTTTATTATTTTTTGAGTTTTAAAGGTTTTTAATATAAATAAAACACTTTTTATTGAATAAAAAATAAAAAAATACTACTTTCAAATTTCTGGCCAGGCTCGAGCTCAGGCCCGGGCTTTAGGCTTTATATGAGGGTTGGACTCGGGCTCAAGACCTAGGCCCGATGGTCAGGCCAGGCCTAGGCTCGGATCTGAATGTATTCTGTTGATACATTGACAAAGCCCAGCCCAGTCCATGAACATGTCTAATTGTAAAATGAAAAAAAAAAAGGAATTACGGACTCATTGTGGTACGCCGATGGGCCTTACATGCACCCTACTCTGTCTCCAAGTCCCCTAGAGGCTATGTTTGATTTGTGGGATGTGAAAAGAAAAAAATTGAAATAATTTTGAATATTCTTCCATTTTCATGTTTGGTTTGTGGGATGTCATGAAATAGGAGGGAAAAAGGAGCATTACATGCTCCCTATTTTGTCTCCACCGGTGTCCCTCTAATGTGTACTATGTACTACTACCAAAAAGACCATAATAAATAAAAGAAGAAAAAAAGAAGAAATTAATTGCATATTGTAATAA